AGAAGCAAGACAGTACACTTGAATAAGATTCATCATAGTTTGTATTGTTTGTTTGTTTTGAATTTCGCGCAAAGCTACACGAGGGCTATCTGCGCTAGCCGTCCCTAATTTAGCAGTGTAAGACTAGAGGGAAGGCAGCTAGTCATCACCACCCACCGCCAACTCTTGGGCTAATCTTTTACCAACGAATAGTGGGATTGACCGTCACATTATAACGCCCCCTACGGCTGAAAGAGCGAGCATGTTTGGTGGGACGGGGATTCAAATCCGCGACCCGCAGATTACGAATCGAGTGCCCTAACCACCTGGCCATGCCGGGCACCACAGTTTGTAAGGAACACAAATATAAAATTTTTCAATGAATGGCATAGTAAAATTTGTTCACTGCAACAACAAGAGGCTTGTGGATCTAGTATGTAGAAGGACAAGTGTAGTGATTTGTCGCCATTGTGCACATGAACAAACACAAACATATTATTTAGGTAGCAATTACTTTTCCTCTGGCTCATTGCAGACAGCCTGTGTAGGTCCAGTGCTGTTTTATTCTCCCTGTGCTGATTGGAGTAGTATTCGATGGTGCTCTAATCTTTGTCTGCAACTTCACTTCGCTCACTCTTCGCTTCATGGTCAAATCAGTGTTTGAAAAACTCTTCAGTGACAAATATACCAGGACTACACTCTGTCTCCTAATCTGAACTGATGTTGATGCTAATAAACTAATGTGGATCTCAGCCACTCCACATATTCTTGTAGACACTCTTGAAAATCTGTTTTGGTGTTAATTACTATTTACTAGGAGCAAAGGTTCTCCTCTGAGCATCGACATGTCATTATTACACATGACAGCTGATAATACCAGTCAGCTTGATATGAGCTCACAAAGCATATGTATTTTAATGAGTTATGAAACAACTGGCCAAAGTAATTGTCAAATAGCACAGCTACAAGTAATTCAATTTTTCCTTGTCAGACAGTAACGGTATTTACAGATATTAGCCATCGACGTTCACTTGCAACAACAATGATCTGATTCCACTGTCAGTTGAACCCGTATTCACGATGAATGGAACACCTTATTTTGGATAAGTTAACACTGGTGCATCAACCCAAACATATGTGAATGACTATGTATGACTTTACAGTCAATCTAAAATAGTATTTAACCTTAGATAAGGCAGAAAAGCTGGCCAGAAAGGGCTTATGACACAAAGACGAGAACACTTGAGATTCCTTCTTAATTGTAGGTTTGAGACAATCTAAACTGTTTTTATTCTAGAAGGATTTGTATACTCCCAGTCTCTAACCCCCTCTGCATCCAAGAAATATCACGTGTTTAGATGAGAAAACATTTCTCTGGCTTGAATTTCAGACCTTCCTATCTAACGCATTAATGTACTTCGCTCAAGTTTTTAACTATGGCCTGAAATGTGCCATCAAATACTAAATTATTGCCCACGTATACAAATGCGCCACTACCATTGCAAAGCTAGTGCAAGTTCTATTAGCCACTTAGAATTAGCTGATACATTACGCAGGCTATGTGTCATAATTCAAAGTTCATACTAAAAGAAGTACTAACTATGTTCTTATGATCTAGCTTGATTAACAAGTAGCCAGAAATAAGATTTAATAAACGAAAAACACCATTATTACTGTGAGTCTTTAAAAAAAAACATTAATGAGAATCTAATTTTTCTTTCTGACATTTAAACTAAACCTTTTTACTCTTATTAAGCCACGTGATGTTACTATATGATATGGGGCACAGTGATTGATTACTTTAATGTCTGACTAGTATCGTGGCTCCAAGTTTATAAACTAACATCACATGACATTAAAGCAATCAAGTGTGGTTTTGTTTGTGCAAGTATGTTGTTATTCAAGCTTAGGAAGTATCATTGCCTCAAGTCTATATACTAACATAACATTCTGACTAATGTTATATTAGTATATAGACTTGAGGCCACGATACTTCCTAAGCTTCATTAACCAGATACTTGCACAAACAAAACCACATGACTTGAGTTTTTGTGTGGGACAACATAATATCTGCGTACTCTATAACCAGTTAATGAATTTCGTGGGTTGGAATTAGGTTAGTAACAGCGAACAACTCATGCCAGGTACAGCCTTGGATTTATGTACAATGTGCTACTACCAACATGAAAGCCTGACTTATTATAGAAGTAATATCATCTTTTGGGTGATGGTTCTTTGTTTTTTTCGTACTAGCTATTTTAGTCAGGATTTATGAGTAAGAACTTGAAGCGGTGGGGACGAAAGGCCTAGATTTAAGTATATCTGATGGACAGAGATTGAAGAAGACTTCTTTCATTATTCGATAAATTCTCACAAAATATCTTTAATTATAAGTTTTGTGATCAAAACCAAGACTAGAGTAGTTGAGTACGTAACTGATGTGATTGCTCATAAGTCCTATGAAAAGATCAAGTCCAGACGACATTCAACTCGACTATAGAAGCCGCCATTTTAGATTAAAGTTTAATTGATCTAGTTTTCCAGTGTGTCCAGTTTAGGATATCTATAAAGTACATGTTCTTGGTGTTCAGTTTAGAATATCTATAAAGTACATGTTCTCGTGTGTCCAGTTTAGGATATGTCTATAGGGTACATGTTCTTGTGTGTCCAATTTAGGGTATCTATGAAGTACATGTTCTTTTGTGTCCAGTTTAGGATATATATAGAGTACATGTTCTTGTGTGTCCAGTTTAAGGTATCTATGAAGTACATGTTCTCGTGTGTTTAGTTTAGGATATGTCTATAGAGTACATGTTCTCGTGTGTTTAGTTTAGGATATATATAGAGTACATTTTTCGTAAGTTGAGATAATATGGTGACGAGTAAGTAAATTATTTTTGTAATCTTTTGACCAACACATTATACGAAACTGTACAATAAAATGAAGGGAATACTCACACCGAAAAAGGCTGAACTAAATGATAGTCCAAAGATAATCAGAAATTGCAACTCGTATCCAGATCCTAAAATATAAATTTCAAAATAGGTGAAAATAAGAAGACTTATTTATAATAAAACATGCGTTTACTCTAAAAACCTATTTAGGTTTGAAACAGCTTTATTCTAACAGTGATAATTTTGAATGTAATATCTAAATAAATTGTGTACAGAAAACAATAAGTGAAGAAGCAGAAAATCGAACCTGTTTCATACTTGTTTTTATTGGTCAATATCATTTTTTCAACAGTAATTTATCTTTAGTGCATTTCCAAACCTTGAGAGATAAAATTGGCTCCAATAATTTATGTATAAATATTTCATCTTAATGAAGAGGTAGTAGCTTCATATTATAGAACAATTTCAATCTAATCTTAAACGGGTGGGGCATGGACTGGTCTGTGAAAGTCATGGTTCATGGTTAGCGTCCACTTTATGGTTGTGGGTGCGCTACATCAGTGGAGTTCAAGACCCACTATTTAATTAAAGAATAGAAATCTAAAAATTGACGGTGGGTGTTGTTGGTTAGCTGCTTTCCCTCTAGTCTATTAGTTTAAAATTAGGTATGGGTACGCACAGATACTCGAAAATTATTGTTTGTCTTGTTTTTGAATTTCGCGCAAAGCTACACGAGGGCTATCTGCGCTAGCCGTCCCTA